CACTCTTGTCCAGTTTGCAGTAAGGTACCAAGTCAACGGCCAGGAGTACTGGGATAACAACAGAGGCAAGAACTACACCCTGAGGTGCCGGACTCACCCCCTGAAGCTGCCCAGGGAGTGTGAGGAGAGCTGGATCCACTTCATCTGAGCACAGGGAGCGGTGCTGAGCAGCGTGTCAGTGCTCTGGTGGCACTCTGTGCCTTGGCATGGCGCTCTGCTCCTATGGCAACAGCCTTCTTTTTGAAACCTGCCAAACCTGGCCGAGTGTCCCAGCGCTGGGAGGCAGCCAGTGGCCTGCACAAGCTGCCCTGAACCTCTGGGAAAGTTAAAAGGCCAGAATCTGTAGTGAGATACCATCATAGAAAAGCCATGTGGGTTTTTTGGGTGCATGAGTCATTGCAGAATGGTTTCCAGGAATGCTCTGAGGCTACCAGAGAGCAAAACAACACATTTCTTGTTGTTAGTGATACTCTTGGTTGCATAGAATGTTTCTAACTGATCTCTCTTATTGTTTTCTACTGTTTGTTTTCTAAGTGGACAGTGTGGCTTAACTGGTTTTGTTTCTAATTTTGTTTATATTACTTCACCAAGTCAGGGCACTATTCCATTAATGCATAATTTGGATGACAGACACTGTAGGGAGTACTTGTATTTATATAACTATGTTATTAAGGCTGTAGTCACGTTAAATATTTCCATTAGTATCTGAATTGGAAATTCAATGCTATTATGAGCAAAACATACATGAAAATGTACCAGCCCCTCTGTTTCCCTTGGGAAAAAAACTAAAGGTGCCTTTTCCTATCTCCTCCTTGCAGCAGGAGTGATTGTTACCAAAGTGTGTGTAAGGCACATCTACATGGGGAAATTCTCATCTTTGTCAAGTGATGCCCAAGTTGGTTTTTCTCAAGGTGGTGGTTCAGGAATTGTCTTTTTCTGGTGCACCTGCTTTTACTGAGGGAAACAAGACCAATATTGGGCTTGTGTTGCAAATGCAGTTTGAAGGTCTCAAAGCACTGTATGAATGCTCGTTATTTTATCACTGTTCCTGGTAAAGTTATAGATCAGGAAATTGATATGATATAAATAAATACATATAAGGAAAATAAATAGTACAGGGAGCAGGGTACAGAGGCCTGGAATAGAATTCCAGAACCCTGAATCACAGTTGTTCCCCAGTGTTCCAGAACTACTGCAGAAGTAGCTTTGACTTCTTTATTTAACTGCTGCCATTGTAAAACAGTTGAACTCCCAGGACTGCAGCCTTGCAACACAAGCAGGAACTTGAAAGCACTTAATTACACAGACCCATAAACAGAATCCCTTCTGCTGCAGGGAGAGCACAGGAACACTTAGACCACCTTCCTGTGCTTCTTGTTTTATTATTTTCATTCTGTGATTTAAGTTTTGCCACAGGCTTAAATTTATGAAGTAAAAGTTTGTCCATAATTGTTCCCATACATAATCATTACTGCATGGAAAGTTTAGCTTTATTTGTGTAACACAGACCTTCAGAGCTGGCTGGCTGGAGGTATTAGAAGAGCTGTGGTTTAGAACTATGCTATGAAAATCAGGCCACTTACTTGGGCATCTTATTTTGGATTGGTGCTTATTTATCAAAATCACAAGTTGCTTGTAAAATCACAGTTGTAAGCAACCCATGGCCAGTTATATATTAGTCTGAAAAGTCTGCTGAGTAATTCTGGAAGGGCAGAAACCCCAAGAAAATTAATTTGTGTGGCAACTTAATGCTGCTTCTTTGTTGTGATTCTCATTTAGCAAAGCTGGGTTTTCAAGTGAGGAAGCTACCTCATTCCACTGGTGTTTGACTTTCAGAGGAGCCAAAGTCAGGAATGAGGATTCTGTGAGCTGCTGAGCACCATTTGCAGGGTGCTCAGAAAGCTCAGTCCTGTCTGAACATGAAAACACATGCACAGAAATGTTCAGGTATTGTTCCCCCCTCTTTTTCCTTCTCACATTATTGAGAAGTGTTCTTCCACCAGCAAACACAGCACACCATAAAATCCCCTCTCTTACCAGCCACCAGTTCACAGAGGGTGCTGCTGGAGCTCAGAGCAATACTTGCTTTCGTGCCAGAAGGATGTTGCTGTCTCTTGGGACAGACTGTCATGTGCTAGCAAATGTCAGAGCTGAGTGTTCCCTTGGCCAGGGCAGATTTTGTAAAGCTGAGGCTGTCATGAGAAGGGTTCATGCCAGATGTAGCACAGTGTGAGAGGGGTGGAGAAATGAATGTCTCAGCAGCCTCAGTTGGGCTTCTATTGTCTTCCTTCCACAACCTCTCAGGGTTTTGGCATGTGCAAGGTCTTGAATACTAAATACTGAAGCATTACTCCAGGTTTCCTTTGGCTCTGTGCTGAATACTAAATACTGAAGCATTACTCCAGGTTTCCTTTGGCTCTGTGCTGAATACTAAATACTGAAGCATTATTCCAGGTTTCCTTTGGCTCTGTGTTGTCTGCACTGCTGGGGTAGGGCTGACAGTGCAGTCCTGGCACTGCTGGCTCAGTGGAGCTGAGAGCCATCTCCGGGTTAAGCTGCTAAAGCTTCACACCAGTACTGACACCTGTCACAGCAGAGCTGATATTTGCACTTAGGTTTTATTGCCACACTCAGTAATGAACATCAAATGGCTTCTGGTTGACAAAAATGGGATTAAGCCATTTAGTGCTCATATGCACCTGTTGTGAAGGTAAACTTACAGCACATTTTTATCTTCTCAGGACAACCTGACTGCTTGCACTGTGTTCAAATTGAGAACTTCCCTTATAATGAGGATTTTGTAAAAGTGAATTCTTCACAAGGGTTATCACCATATAATGCACTTTTAAAAACATGTATTTATTGTTGTCATACAGTAAATGAATGTCTTGTAGTCCACAGTTTCAAGGTTCTTCCAAGCATGTTTTTTAAAGAAACATGAAATCCATGTAAATAAAAAGGGGTTGTACATTACACAGTATATCAATGAAGCACATATGCTGGACAAAAGGTACAGCAGTTGTAAAATTGCAAAGTGCTTAATTAATTTCAAAAAGCAATAATAAAACTATGCCGATTGTAATACAGAAGATTGAAATAAAAGCTTTTCACAATTTTCTGTTGTTTCTGTCAATGGTAGTCCCGTCAAGAAAGCTCATGAAGAAACTTAATTTTGAATTGCCACTTAGAGAGTAACATACTCTGGAAAGTGAGGTGGGTTTGAGTGGCTAAACAATGAACAGCACTTGATACAGTGATCATTGTATGTATCTCACAGATTATTGGGCTGCCACTTCCTGCGTGGAACCTGTTGTCCTTTCACCTTAGAATTCTGTGCCTGCAGCACCTGCAGGATTGAGATCCAATTTTGGAAAAAGGCTTGCTGCTACTTAATTCTAATACAGCTTCATGCAAGAAAAGAAGGGGGGTTTCCTCAAACTGCACTTTCCAAATCCATGCTAGACTTTACTTAACACATTCATTTCTGGGCCTCACAATTGTGTTATTATTTGTTTTATTTATTTTCTTTCGGTTCTCCTTGCTGCAGCCTTTCCTCCCACACAGTTTCCCCTGACAGGTTTCATGAAAATCTACCTGTGCCATGGTTAGGAGTGTCCCTATGCAGGGCCTCATTTATCCTCCATGGGAAATGCAGCTCCACTGGGGTCAGTCTTGATAGGGCTGAGGACTGGAATTATCTGTTGCCAGGTTTCTCCTAAGGCAAAATGAAGACATTTAACTAGCAGACATAATTAATAAAAATATACATTACCAGTTACTTTTTAATCAGTACTAATTATAGCAAATCAGTTTAAATACATGGGCATGTCTGTATTAAGTTGCTCAAAAATGTGAGAGTATTTAAGAAAATGATCATTTTTTTCTGCAAACATCCAACTATCAAATTTGTCTTACAGGTTGCTGATGCTACTTTTAATATAGGTGATATTTTTACACTTAGTTTCAAATTCGTAGTTTATTTGTAAATTAAATTGCAATTTGTAATCACACTAATATGCATGTATAATCAGTAACTACAGCCCTTAATGTGGTGTATCATCAGTGCTCAGCTGTACTTTACAGCTGGTAAAGACTTAGAACTGCAGTGAATGATTATTCATTTGGCAACAGGAGTGTAACATTAGTAATGACTTCTTTCCCAACTTCTCTCTCCCTGTGATCTCAGATCTGCAAGTATTTCATTTGACACTTGATATTCAAACTCTTGGTATCAACACTTCTGACCCTTCACACACAACAGCAGCTGTGCCAAAGACTGAAAACATCATGGCCAGCACAATGCCTTCCTTTAACTGTAATACAGATAAATATTTCTGCTACTGTAGTGAATGAGTCCCTGTAAATAGTGCTACCCTACCCTAAGGAGTTTTTCCATTTTTTCTGGTGTTTTCACATGTGTCTGAAATGACTGTGGCCAAGTAATTTCCCTGTTGGTTCTGGTCTGTTTAATGCATAACTCAACGAAACTTCTCTCTGACTTCCCTCTGCTAAACCAAACAAAACAGACTAATGTTACAGAATGAGAAATGAGCTGAAGTAATCTCAGTGTGGATTGCAGGAAGGAAAGTGTGTGATCCACTTCTGGACTGTCTCACTTCTCTTTGCTATAGAATGAGTAAGGCTGGACAGGCTCAGCCTCGGTGTTTGCTCATGGTAAGGGAAACTGACTTCAAACAGGCTTTGATTATTTCGGTTTCATGTGGTGAAAGCACAATGCAGGATTCTGTTTTCATAGAAAATTCTGATACCCCAAGTTTTATCCTTGGGAGGTTTCTCAGTAAAGCTTTTTTACAAATCTGCCTCAGCACTGCTCACTCCCAGCTCCTCAGCGCAGATACTCCACTTCTCACACCACCTGTCATTTTCTTGCATTACAGTGACATCTCGTGGTATTTTAAATACTTTCTGTGGAGTTTGTTTTTTTTTTTTCTTTTATAGTATTGAGTTTTTATCTTTCTCATTTCAGGGGATCTGCAGTACTATTTTATTTACAATTGCTGCATCTTTAGCTGCTGTGAAAGGTGACTTCTTTCCTAGATGCTTCACTATTCCTGCTTATTCTAGGAGACACTTGGAGACACTTCTTGATACTCTTCTGGAGTAAGTGAGATTTATTTTATCATCTGTATTTGTGATATGGCAACAGATACAGCAATAGCACACCAGTACAGGAGAAGCCCCCCTTTTCGCACTGTCGGATTCCATTTAAACACATTATCCAGTACTGCTGGATTCCATTTAAGCACATTATCCAGTGCACTGCTGGGTTCCACTTAAGCACATTATCCAGTTCCCTCTGCATAGTAAACACCACAGACGTCAGTGGAAGCCTTTAGCCGGCAGCAGGTCTGTAACCGAGCGTGCCTTTGCACCTACTCGGGCAGTGAAAGCGCTTCTAAATTTAGCACAGGAATGGATTACACTGGTTTAGCCAGCCATGCCCAGTGATTCCTGTGTGCCCACGGAAATCAGCCCCGAACAGCGGCTGCAGACAAAGGCAAGGGCGGTGCCCCAGCAACGCCCGCCGCGCTGAGGGCGCTCCCGCCGGCCGCACTGAGGGCACGCAGGGCCCGCCCCCCACCGCTCGCCATTGGCCCGCTCTCGCACTGCCGAGCGCTGATTGGTCGGCGGGGCCCGCGGGGCGCGGCCCGCGCTGAGGGCGGGCGGTGAGGCCGGGTCGGGCCGGGGCGGGCAGCGGGGCCTGGAGGGTGGAGAAGGGAATTGGGATTCCTCCTCAGGGCTGTGGGAGCGGGCCGGAGACAGCAGAGCTGAGAGCTGCCAGCACGGGCCTCAGAGGAGCCCCCTGTGTTCTTGTGTTGGAAAAAGTAACTAAAAATCACCCGGTTTTGTTATTTCTGTGTTATTTAGTGCAGGAGTAGCTAGGCTGTGTCCCAGTTCCCTATCTTTAATCATTATTTGTTTTGACTGTATAATGTCTGGGACGGGGAGACCAAAGCTGCAGTATTGACTCCACATGGTTTGGTTGGTCTAAAATAATTCATACAAAGCGTGAACAGATTTGTTGGTTTTCTTAAATGTCCCACAAAACAATTATTTTTCCTGCCCTTGAGTATTGATACACTATTTTCAGAAACCTGTTACCCAGATATTGCTTTTATCTGGTGACAATCACTTTGGAGTCTGTCGCTGTATGTATCATCTAGAAGTCTTTTTGTGTCATTTATTGTATTTGTGTTCAATGATTTAATTCACTATTTTATGGCCAGGCCTCTATGCAGTTTTGCTGTGGACTCGCCTGTGCTGAATAACCTGGCCCTGACCTTCTGTGCTCTGTCCTTGCTGGGCAATCCTGAGGGTCCTCTCAGGCCCCTCTGTGCCTCCAGCCGTGAAACTGAGCATTCCTTCCTCTCCCTTGCTTTAAACAATTGTTTATCCATGCAACAAAGTTTCCTTACATCCCCAGCTGTTTAAACAGCATTTATATAGCACTTATACACTGACAAACTTCGGAGTTCGTAATGTGTTTTTACTGATTCCCAACGTGTTTGCAAAACTTTTTTAAAGTGTGATGATTGTTCCCTTTTAGGCAGCTGAGTTGGTGAATTGCAAAAATGCCAGCCAGGAGTGAGATGCAGGTATGTGCTGATGGAGCAGGATATAATTATTGATTGTTTTAATTACTAACATTTGATTGTAAGGAAAGTCTTTAGTGTGGTAGGAAGAAATTTTCTTTTGACATAGCTGGGTGGAAAGCAGGAGGAACTGGGAATTGCTGCTGATGAAAATAAATCATATGCATTCAACAGAGGTTAATCAACTTAGGGGATACTTAAGATGAAAATGTTGAAATCCAGTTGTAATTGAAAGAAATTTAGAAAGAATAAAGGGGTAAAATGGATAAGGTAACTAAGAAGTGTAAAATACTGAATATACCAAGTAAGGGGCATTGATACAACAAACACTTCTGTAGGAATTTAGATGTAATATGAGGAAACTAAAACCTGTTAAAGCAAATAATTAGAATCTCAGTGCATAAGTATTTGCAAGATAAGCATATTAGATAGGGTGCTCTGCACTTAAGGTTTAATGCTTAATTATTTTGTGATTCAGAATATTTGCTTCAAGTGCAGCAGGTGATTGTGTAAAACTTGCATCAAATCTGTGTTAATTACATGAGTTATATCAGTGTTAAGCATACAGTAATGCAGTTGCTTTGGTTATTGCTTACAGCTTGAAAAGTTAATTGATGAAGCTGCAGGAAAAAAAGATTTCCAATCCTTAGAACAATTTCTGGCCACGGAAGAATGTGAAAATGTCTCTCACAAATGCAGCAAAAACTTTGTCAACAAATTGGATAAGCTTCTGTGTTGGGTAATGTAATCATTGCATCAAAATCATCTACATCATCTTTGGAAGAGGGTGGAAAAGATTTTTTTCATTTGTCTTGATTGACATTAGCAGTTGATTTAAGAACCAAAAATAAATTTTATGAATGAAATCTCTCCTTCAAGCTGCAGTTAAGGTGGCTTTTGAGAACAAAAAAAGGCATCAATTTAATGAAATACATGTTCTTGTGGGACTTCAGACTAAAGCTCATGTTGTAATTTTGATTTCAGGCACTTGACAAACAAGAAGTCCAAAGCATTTCTACTTTACTAAATGCTATTCAGAAATGTGGGAAGAAAATGAGCATAGCAGGAGAAGATGGACTCACAGCAATGATGAAACGCGGCCTTGTTGGAAGGATAAGTAAAACCATAAAGCATCTGTGAACTCCTCAATAAAAATTATATATATAAATATAAATATATAAAAATATATATAAATATAAATATATAAACAGGAATAAATGCATGAGCAGTGCTCCAGTGCTGAGCAGCTCAGGGTTTGATTTGGTCCTTGATTGAGTCAGAATTAAGAGATTCCCATAACTTTGCAACAAAAATTGTTCATATTTAAACACTTTTTGTCATGTAACCCCTTCTGAAGGGATGCTGCTCTATCCCAGTGAGGGTTTTGCAAATCATGCAGTATATAATTAATTTAGATATGCTTACAGCAACTGAAACAAGATTATGTATTTTCATGAGCTTTGTTATATTGCTTTTGACTTGGGAATTAGATTTTCCTGGTGCCATTTAAATTTTTTTTTTTGTTAATTCCCAGAGCAGTGATTTTGTACCTGCTCTTTCAAAAGATTTTAGTGATTTTCTAATTATTATTTTAACCTGCATGTTAGATGCATTAATAATTTGTAACTCAGCAAAAACTGAACACCAGACCCCACTTCCTTTCTGCTTTCCCCAGAGATTTCACTGCAGAAAATTAATGGCAAAATCAGATGAGAGTTCCTCAATTGCCTTCTCGACTGCTTTAATAATAAACAAATAATGAATAAACAATATAATAATAATAGTAATAATAAACCTGCAAATTAGAAACAACTGTTGAACAAATACTGTTCCCATTGAAACTCATGTAATTTATTGAAATTGAAATTTATTGAAATTGTTTTAGTAACATAAGTACCATTTAAAGTCGTGTAGAACTGGTTGTCTTTTCTTGTTTTGCAGTTACTGAAGCCTGTTGCTTTACAAGGTTTACATTACAAGGGCCCAAAACAATAAACAAAATTTAATAACAAACAAAACCAGGGTGATAACTTTATGCTTGTATTCATCAATCAACACACTTCTATTCAGCCATTATCAATTTTCAGCTGCTTTGTCTGTGGAGGCAGGTGCCAAAGTAGATCTCCAATTTTTGTGTTTAAAAAGTCCTTAAAATCACCCCATTTTGTTAGGCCTGAGTGAAGGATTTCAAACATCTGCTCAGCAGAGTGGGGCTGCTGTTGTTGTTTTAATCAATTTAGAGTTTGTGTAGTTTTACTGAAGTACAATACAAACCATTGTCTATTGCAGGCTATTAAAATAGATTTCCCTTTGTTTTCCCTTTACATGGTCAATTGGTTTGAAAAGTTAAAAGGAATTTTGGTCCTCAGAGGAAATGAAAAGAATGAAATGATTACAACTCTGGCTGAGGATTTCTTCATCACGTTGCTGGTAAAAATACATTGATAATAAAATTTGTCAAAGTAATTGTTACTGGTTTAGCAGTAAAAGGACTTTAAATATGTTTCTATTTAATGTCTTCCTCAAGTTAACATTACAATGACTTCTGAAATAGATTATAAGGCATTTTGGTTAAACAGTTTGCTGTAGTCATACTAATTTCTGTTCTTGGCTGGCATCATGAAATTAAAAAAAAACAGTAACACTAAATACTGAATTAACAAAAAAAAAAAAAAAAATTAACCTTTATTAAATTCTAATTACACCCATTATTGGGATGCTAATCCAGTTTATAAGATCTGTGAGTTCTCTTCATAAAAATTGTTGTCATTGGTGAAATAATTTCAGTAAATTTAACTGAAATATAATTTTGGGAAAAACACACTTGTTAGTAGGGATCATCTCTTAGATTCTTTGTTATTGACAAAATTATTTCAAAATCTTAAATACTTTTAAATTACTTCCTTTGGGTACATTTTTCCTGTGTTTTTTAAATGCTGTAATATTTTCTTTATCAAAATGATTTGGTTTGTTTTTTTTATTGCAGGTTGTGTGTGATAGCAGACCTGAAGGTGAGCTAAAAACCAGAAGTGAGAGTTTAAAATATCTTTTTCAGGACACACATAGGACCACTTTTCTCATTCCTGTGGCATCACCTTTAGTTTGGGGTTTCTCTATGGACACATTTCCTTGTAGCTTTCTGTTGTCAGTAATAAAAAAGCTCAATAAGTTCCAGAGATGACAAATTTCCTGAGTTATTCTTAAAATAAGTTGTTTCTAAGGTCCTGTCCCAGCTGAGCACAGCCCACTGATCCTTCCTGATTGGCCTTGTCCTTGTGAGTGTCACCCTGCCCTTCCCTTTCAGTGTGGCACTGGGGGAAAGGCCCTGCAGACTCTTTGGTGTCATGAACAAAGTGAAAAATTCATTTCCTTGGCCCTGGGGAGACAAATTCCAGCACCTGAGTTGTGTCTCAGAGAGCTGAGTTATGGAATTGACCAATTCAATGTAAAAAATTAATAAATCTCCTACCCAGGGGAATTACACAGTGATGCACAGGAGTAGGAACATGCTTACTATAAATTGAAATAACTATTCTGTTTTACATATAAAATGTATATATACAATATATATTTATATATATTGTATATATATACACAATATAAAATATATATATACATATACAATATATATAAATATATATATTGTATATATATATTTATTATATATATTATATATTATATATTATATAATATTATATAATATTATATATATCATATATATATAATATTATATATTAGTATATATATTGTATATATTATATATATAAAATATATATATAAAATATATATATATACATATAAAATGTATATATACAATATACAATCCTTTATAAAAAGACAAACACACTGTATTTAATTTCTAAATGAAAATGAATCCTTTCCCAAATGTTTATGAGGGACATCCTTACAGACTCTTGACAACTCTTTCATTTCTTTCTTTCCTGTTAGGTAAAATGCAGATACTAGAAAACTTCCTTCTGAGAACATGTTCCCTCATTACTGATGCAAGAATTAATATTTATGTTCAGCAGGAGGTAAACATCCTTCTTTCTAAGCAACAGTTTAGAAATTTAGTGTGTTAGACTTTGTGGAGACAATTCTTTAACAAAAAAGAGAATATTGTAGTGCTCTAGGATCACAAGCATTGTATCATGTTTTTCTGGCAATGTTTGTTGTTTATATGTTGGAGTATTTCAGATTACTGACCTGTGGTTTTGGGGCTTTTTGTTTGGTTTTTGTTTTTTTTTTTTTTTTTTAAGAGTAAATTCCAAACCAGTGATATTAAAGTTCTGGTGAGGAAGCTGTAGAAAAGCATAAGGAAAAAATGAGCTTTGCAAGTGCTAGAAATAGGGTTGAGGCTGTTGGTTGTAAATTCTTTAGTCACCTGCAGGAAATTTGCATTCCTTCCAGTACCTCCAAATTTCTCCTGTTTGTTTTAGTAACCTCATGTTGTCAGGGGTTTTCCCTCTAAAGAAAGGGAAATGACAAAAAAGTCTTTTGTAAATGCTACATCCCCAAAGGAAAATGTTTTTTTAATTTAAAATTTAAGGTACACTTATATTTAATAGCTAATTTAAGGTACACTTGAGCTCAGCAATCAACTTTAGACACAATTCTGGCTTTGGAAGATTTTTCTTTATTTAAACCTGCAAATAAGGAACAACTGTTGAACAACTACTGTTCCCATTGAAACTAAAGTAGTTTATTGAAATTGAGGTTGTTTTAGCATGATAAATACCATTTAAAGTCATGTAAAATTTGTTGTCTTTTCTTGTTTTGCAGTTACTTAAGCTTTCTTCAGTGGTATGAAATACATTATTATTATTCAAAATAAGAATAACTCAGTTTAACAAACTTACTTTATATTCCCTTTTTTCCACTCTTCTTAGGTAATAAAAAAACTGAATTTATTGCTTGACCACATCCCTCAAGATTCCAAGAAAAATATTCTTTCTACAAAGGAGATGTTGCTTGTCATGTAAATGACCTTCAGTGTGTTTTTATAGCATTCCATCATTTGCAGGGTTGGGAGGGGGATTTCACTGTGCTGTTGTGCAGATTGGGCCCTGTTTAACTCAACTTCTGCACTTGCTGTGAGCTCTCAGTGGTGGTGGTTGGGGACTGGTGTTCTCATGGGTTATTCCCCATCAGAAGCCTGAATTTTCCTCTTTCCCAGTCTGAATCAGGCTTCTCCCCATCCCACTGGTCACACAATAATTAAACTCCTGTTTGTAAGGATGTGCTGGCAGCACAGTGGGTCAGTCACTGGAAGGTTGGGCTGTTTGCACTGGAAATCATTTTACTCCAGAAAAGCCAATAGAGTCAAAATTGTATCTGTCAGGTGATTCAGGCCCCAGGCACTGCTCCCACAGGTATTTACCCCTTGGAACTCTTAACAGTTCCATGGAATTTGGGGGTTTTCTCATACTTTGAAAGTTTATGATAAATTTATTATTTGGCTTTGTGTTGCTGTCACATTTTGATGAAATGTCCCTTTGTTTGGCAGGAGTGAAATGGGGAGGACAATTTTGGATTCTGGAGGTGAGCATGGGACTTAATTTAGTATTGAGCTTAAAAATTAGCTGCAGACCCATTAAGAAACTAAAGGCATTTGGAAGCTGCAGAATGTTATGGTTAAGGTTACCTGAAAAATATAAATACTGCATGAAAACAGTCTGCAACTGGAATGTTTCTGTCTGTTCAGTGTATGGAAAACTCATGGAAATTTTTGATTTTCTAGAATCAAAGTTTTCAAATAGGAAAAATGATAAACAAGTCAATCTTTGAAGCTGGGAGCTGTGGCCATGGGTAGCAGTAGTGGAACTTCCCTCAGGGATCCCTTTGGCATCCAGCAATTCCCCAGCTCAGAGAGATGAAACTTGAAAATTCCTCTCTCTTGTTTCAACACCTGGGGTGGCTCTGACAGTGGTGCAAAGTTTGAAAAATTTTGAGGAATAACTTTTCTTTTTCGAATTACCCTTTCTGGGTTGCATGTTTGGATCTGGTGGGATCTAGGTTATGTTCAGCACTGCTTACCCCAAATTCCTGCTAACATCTCCCACCTGAGTGGTTATTGAATGTGCTGCTGTGTGAATTCCTTGTGCTGCAGACTATGACACACAAGTGGCCATCACAGAGGCTCTGTGCAGGATGGTGTCAGAGAGGCAAAGGAGAGCTCTGGCCTCCCAGTGGTTCCCCATGGAGTTCGTGTCCACTGCATTTAAAGGAATTAAAGACTCAGAGTTTGAGACAGTAAGTCACATGAAAAACATTTCCAGGGAGGGGAATTTCCATCTTACAATTCTTTAAGAAATTTTTCTGTGTTTTAATAGGATTGCAGAAAATTTCTCAACCAGGTGAATGGCATGCTTGGAGACAAAAGAAGGTAAAACTGATTTTTTTTTTAGGATTTTATGTTGTGATTAAATTTCATGTTGCAACCTTGGGGTAAAAATCACTTGTTCAGATCTGCAAAATTTATTTACAGCATTACAGAATACTTGAAAAAATATCCTTTTCTTACAGGGTTTTTACATTCCCATGTTTATCAGCAGCTCTTGATGAGTATGAGGTAAGGTTTTCTGCCTTCTAGTTAAGAAAAAATAGAGATAAAAATAAGAAAATTACCTTTTTTCAGAAGTATAAAATAGGCATGGACTGAAAGTTTGTCAGGGGTTCAGACCAACATGAGACTTCTTAGCTGGTAGTAATCAGTGCTCTCTGCTCTTGCTGTTTTATCTTATTCTTTTTGTTTTAGCTCCAGATACCATCAGATGAAAACCTGGAAGAGTTTTGGGTTGATTTCAACATTGGCAGCAGGAGCATTTCCTTCTATGTGGCAGCAGAGGATGCAGTAAGCTGAGTTTTGTCTCCCTCTGGCTTCTCCCGAGGCAGCAAATCCACATTCTTTTAATTGTGATAGAATAGAATTTCTTTTAATTGTGGTATAACACATAATAAATGTGTTTTTCATATAAGGACCAGCAGTGGGAAACAGTCATTATACAAGAAGAAGATGTCAACATGTACAGCCTGGAAGGTATTTGAACTCAAAAATGGGACTTTTCATTGTATTCTAACTTGGATTTTCAATCTCATTTCAATTTGATTAACCTTAAAGTACTGACTTCACTCTAGCAAAGCAGAATTCTCACTTAAAATATTGTAGGAGCTGTTTTTATCAGGGACAAAACTGCACTGCAGTCACAGCTGCACTTTGGGTATGCTGGTGTGATTTTAGGAAAACAATTTAATAATTATGCCTTAGAGTTATTTCAATACAAAACAGGGCATAAAGCAATGGCAGGTAACAATATTCCTTTTGTACTTGTTAGAACAGTAAATATCTGTCATTTGTCTGCAGCTATAGTAACCTTCAAAGAAAAATCTGTTTAATAATATACAGAATAAGTATTTCTAAAATACAAACATTAGATTTTTTTTGCTAATAAAATTATTGTAGATTAGAGGGAATTAAATAAAATATTAATCTTAGTACCTGAATGAAGAATGTGTCATGTGTTGACAAAGATTGTATAAGATGCTGTTTAATTGAAATGAAGCTGCTTTTCAAATTTTGTTTTTGTTCAGAAAACAATTCAAAGAAATTATTAACAATAGATCTAAAAAGCCCAATGAGTGTGGGCGCTCTTGAAGGAGAGAAATTCCTTTTCTCTTTTGATTCTATCTTGGAAATCAAAGATGTGACCATAAAGATTTATGGATTTCATAAATGCAAGGTAAGATTTAAACACCTTTTTCAATAGTTTTAAATTGATTCAAACTCGATGTCTCATTGCCATTTGAAATTTCCAGCTGGGATTATTGGAACCTCTCCCTACCAAGAGTTTCTCTGAACATCCCTGCTACAGAACTCATCATATGCTGAGCTTTGGGAAAGATGCTTAATGAGGACAAGGGGAAATGGCCTCAAGTTGCACCAGGGGAGGCTTTGGTTGGATTTTGGGAAAATCTTTCCACTGGAAAAGAAAAAAAGAAAAAAAAGTTGTCCAGGCCTGGCCCAGGCTGCCAGAGCAGGGGTGGAGTTCCCATGCCTGGGGTTATTTGAGGCACACAGGGATGTGGCACTTGGGGACATGGGTTAGTGCTCAGCAGTGCTGGACTCAGCACTGAAATGCTTCTTTCATTCCAACATTGCAACAAAAATTTCCAGGCTGCAAAGAGAACACAATACCTTAATGTCAAATTGTGCATGTTTAATTTTAAATTTTCCAGAAATGCAGCCTGGTTGCTTACAAATACTTCCAGAAATGATTCATGAGCTGTCTTGTTTTGCAGTGCAATTAACACTCTTGAATTTACTCATTTAGTAAAACATCCCAGCAAGCCTCACCTTACTCCTTCTAACAAACTGCTGTGTCCTGAGCTCTGACTGAGGAACTCCTGAGGGTGAAACTGCTGTGAATTTGTACAATCTGTTTGATTTCAGACACTTATGATCTCTCACTGAAATGTTTTGTTTCTTGTTTAAAAAAAGAGCAGAGTGTCTGTTTTTAACAAATCCCTTTGCAGGATTTCAGCAAGAAGCAGTCCACATCAGTAGTCAAAACAAGTGTCCACATTGTGTTTGATGAAAGTGGATCACAGGTATTCTGCCTCAGTGGGCTGAGATGGTTTCTTGGGGTTGTTTAATTAGTCTGATTATTCATCATTTAAAAACAGTAAAAACAAGGACTTTAAAATATTAACAAGCACAGATAAGTCTAAAGCCAGGCAGCTGGTGTCTAGTATGTATGTATTGTGGTTTTGGGGAGATATTAATATCCAAATCATAGAATAAAACAGACAAATATGCACAGGGCAAGTGTTTTTATGTGCATTGTTATTTGAAAACTCATCCTTGTAACAAAATTAGTAATTAAGTTGGAAGTTTTTCAAACTAAAAGTCTGTAACCTCTGAATTTTTTAGAATCTCCAGTGGGGGATGTGTTACTTGGGGTAAAGAAGATGCTATGTGTGTTTGTATAAAAATAAAACATTATAAAATCCAAATATTGTATACAAATTAAAAGAAATTAAAATACCCTATAGGTAATGGTACCAGAAAGTCAGTTGTCACCAGGATTCAAAGAAAAGTCTGGAGAGGAGAAGGAGAAACTCAGTAAATACAAAGCTCAGCAATCTCCTGGAAATTTGAGGAATCAGAGTAAAAGTAACAGTCAAGAAAAACTCCAAGGTGATTCCTCCAAGGTAAGCAGAGTTGTCAAAAAAAGAGGAGTAGGGAGAAAATGCATGTCAGTTTAAATATTTGTAGTATTTAATAGTCTAAACACCTTATTTGACAGCTGGAATATAGTCAGTACTCTAATAAAAATTTGATTGTTTTCCTTATGGCTTGACACTAAGCTAGAAAAAGATTTGTTGGTATTTTGAAACTCCAGTAACGTGCAGAAATAAAAATGAATTGTTAATGACCTTTAGACCACAATGCTCTGAGAGTTCTCTTTAAAGAGAAGTTTCTGAGGATTTGCTCAGATGTCCCAGGATGGAAAAGTGAAGTTTGGCCTCAAGGATGTCGCCCTGCTGGAGAGGGGCTACAAACTGAAACAGTTACTGTGGTTTCCTGGGGCAGTGCTGGGTGTTCAGAAACCAATTTCTCCTTAGTTTGGAGCTTTTAGAATCTCCAGGGAATCCCTTGGTGAACAAGGGACAGGATTTGCCCATACTTCATCGAATTAATTTAGAAAACAAAACCCACAAATCTCAATTTTAAAATATTTTGTTGAAATACAACTGCATAAAAATCACATTGCATAAAAATCACATTGCATAAAAATCACATTGCATAAAAATCACATTGCATAAAAATCACATTGCCCTGATGCCTGCAGCAGCAACAATTGACACTCCAAAAATGGACAAGAGGCTCTTGGCAATAAATATTCTGAATTCTTGTGCTGTCATCCTTAAATCAGTGTGTTATGATCAAGTTCTTTCTGCTCCTCAAGGTAACTCCATCCCGTAAAAGGAAAGTGTCTGAAGCATCTATGCAAGTTCCTAGAACTGCAAGTGTGTCCACAAGGAGTTCCTCTTTTTTTATCAGCACATGTAAGTTTGCAAGTGCTTTCAGGGTAAAAATACACTGTGAATGGTCTTTGATGCTCAGGCATGAACTGTGATCCTTGGCACAGCTGGAAATGAAAAGGAGAGAGAGAAAATCTCCTGAGCAGATTTTAAAACTTGAAATGTTTAAGGGGCACTTAAACAGGGGTGTGGGACAGGGGGAACTGCCCAGGGTCACCTGGAACTTCTGCTGCTGTCAGGAACCAGCTGAGAGCTCAGTAAAAATATACAAAAAATTACACTGAAGTCTTTAAATAGAAACCAACTGGTTTGTACCAGATCCAGCCTGTAACAAGCTTTGCTTCTGCCTCCAGACATCCACAGTCATTGAGCTCCTCATCTCCCCACAGCAGAGCTGGAATAAATGGAATTATTAAAGGTCCAGAAGGGGCTGGTATCAAAACTAATCAGCTTTTGTTGGAGTTTGTGGAGTAGCTGGGATAGTGGGCAGAACATTTCCTTTTGTAATGGGAGAACTGATGGAGTTCTAACACATCTCTGTTTTGTTTCAGCCACTCCTTTTAAAGGGAGGTATAAATTGCCTTTGGAAATGACCAGCTCTGCTAACAGGTCTGACAATGGAACAATAAATGAGAGCAGAACAAAGAGTTTCTATGAGGAGCCTCCTGCAGTATGCATGTCCTCTGTAGCTAAGTCCTTTTCTTAGAATAACAACCATTTCTATTCGAATTTGTTCCTAATTCATATTTTAAAGGGCTAAAGTTTTACAGGTAGCAAGTCACTTTTAGAAAACAGGATGTTTTACTTTATTGCATTATATTTCCTTGCCCTCTGAAATTCAGGTTTGACATGTTTAAAGTCAGACTGAACTCTAACAAAATTAGGCCCAATTTGCATTCACTCATCAGTCCTAACCCCAGAATTATCTTGCTTTTTTCTGGAACCTCAGTTCTTCCTTTGTGTATAATAGGAGAAATGTGCATGCAATAACTTCTAATTTGCTATGCAGTAGTGAAATAGCCCTAAAACAGAGAATACACTCAGCTGTGCTTGTGAAATGTTCATGTCTTCAGCTTGCAGCATTTAAAGCATTGATTTTTTTAGTACATTTTTGGTCAGGCTTTCACTACTGTAAAGCAAAAATACACAAATGTTGTAAATGTCTGCCTTGCTCAGATTCAGGTCAAGCCCCACACTATGGGACTCTGAAGCATTTTTTGATACAGCCATGCTTTGAAAAGGGCTGTCATGTACAGAATGTTTTGTTTAGAGCATTTCTTTGGCTTTTATGGGCTCTGAGTAGCAGTGCTACTTACTGTGCTTCTCAGAACGGGCAGAGATGCACAGCAGACAATGAATTCTGTGAAACAGCCCAGATTAGGAAGTCAGATACCAGGAATGAGGCAGAAATACATGGAAGGTACTGGAACAGCACTTCCATGAAATGAGAACAAGAAAGTCATGTTTGATTAGAGAAAGCACAAATTTATGATGTTGTACTGCCTATGGTCCTGCACTAATATTTCCTTTTGGGTGTCATTCCACTGTAGCAAATCCGTTCTGAAGCAGTCATAAAAATGGTGCCAGAGGCCACAGAAAAGAAAGCTTTAGGCAAGTAATTTTACAAGCACTGGCAGTCCTTTTAAAATTATTTTAATTTTTTCTTTTGCCATAATAATTGACACCAAATTAATGTCTCATTTAGATGAAGTGTTAGATATTGTTCCTGATTCTCAGCCAGCTGGAAGAAGCCACAAACCTTTGTAAGTACTGGAAAAAAATTTCCAAGTCATTGTTGTCAGTCACTTTGAAGGGAGGATTTTCAAGCATCACCAGAATTGATATTTTGTTGCAATGTAAAATGCTTTGCTATCTCTAAGATTGAATCATTTTCCTATTTATGATACACTTTTATTATAATTAAGACTCAAGCTCTGACAGTAGGATGGTGTTGTTTTTGTTAGGTTGCCTGGTCTTTTGGAGACTTCTTTTGATAAAACTGAAACGTGGAAAAAAAGAACATTCCCTCTTGCTGAGAAGAATGGAACAGCTGGGGACAAGCAAAAGGCAAATCTGTCCCTGGCACGGGCATCCCACCCAGGTGATGGTCACACTTGCCAACTGCTACTCTCAAAAATAGAGTCAGAGAAATGAACTTGCAGTGATGATTGTTTTTTTCCTTTATTACTATTGGTAGTGAAAGAGCTGTGACACAAAAAACATTTATTCAGCTTTTTGAAGTACCTCTCCATATAAAAAAATGAAAAAAAACAGAACCAAGAAAATTAAATTGATCCCATCCTCAGTGGAGGAGTCAGTGTTGATCATTTGGAACACAAACTGTTAAATACAGGAGGGAAAAATGCTGAAACTACCACTGAACCATGGGTTAAAACATTTCTTTCAGCCAGAGTGTGTGACACATCTTTCCATTCTGACCTTGCACAAGAGGACCCTGATGCTCTCCTCAGAAAAGAGACTGCAAACCCAAAACAGTCCAAGACAGTGAGTTTTTTACCTTTGTTTCTTTCACTTGCATTAAAGAGAATTGTCCCATTTTCAGTGATTCAAAACTGGTGGGTTTTCTGTCATGCAAGGGAAAATGGTTCTCAAATTAACGTAATTTAATCCATTAAGAGGCATTTCATGAAGTTTAGGGGGTTCTTAAGAACCTGAAGTTCTGTTTGCAGCTTTGTTCTTCTGTTGAATGTTGAGTGTTAAACTGTTTTTATAGAAACCAAAGTCTAAAGAAATGGCAGATGCAGCCAAATCACTGATCAGTAAAATCAGTGACAGATACAGAGACAAGAGTGAGGAGAAGAGCAAAGCAAGAGATTCCCTGGGCTTTAACAGGTACAATGTGAAATATTTCCTTTTGTGCTGAGTTTCTGTGTGCCTCTGGCTGTCTCTGTGATGTACCCATGAATGCTGATAAATGAAAGGGGCTGGGCTCTTTTAATCCATCTTTTAATTGATGTTGTATTTAAATGCATGAATAAATTTACTGCCTATTTTTTTTTATATAGGCAGTGTTCTAATGCATATATTCTAATTAGCATTTAACAAAATGTATCTTTATTTTTAGGACACTCTTAAACAAATCCAGGTTCTCCAAGGTAACACATTTGTGCTTTTTTTTGGAATTGTTTTTAATATGTAAATACATGGTGGAAGTCAATAGGTGTAAAGGGAAAGTTCATAAATACCATTCAATATTAATGATCTGTAGATGTTAATGATGCATTGGCTGCAGATTTGTTTTGCCATATTGAACTGTTGCTAATCAACCTGATTATCTTCATAATGAACTAAAGAAGTTGCTTTTTGAGATGACAGTGTCTATGAAGCACAGTCCAGATTTGACAGAGGAGCTAACTTCTCTTTTATGGATAGGAAGAAGTTCAGGACAGGACCCTAAAATCTGCTTCTTTTCTTAATATAACTGCTGGTCATGATCTGTAAGTAGTTACAACATTTTCAAACACAGTTTCTGATTATCCACACCTGATTCTGTGAACTTTTCATTAATTCAGTCACAAAATTGATCTCTGCCTGTTTGACAGGGATGATGTCTACAACTTTAACATCAGCGGGTTTAATGAGCCTACAATCAAGCTTGGAGTAAGAAATAACTAAAATTTATGTTATGAATAGAATAGAAAGGAAATCAGTCAAATGTTGTACTGAAAGTATAATTAAGATCTGAAAATTCAAATTATATCAGTAAACTGAGTGGGGGAGAAAGTTTGTCTTGTAAATACCTCCAGAATTCTCAAATATTGAACAACATGCTCTGACTTCAGATTCTGGCCACTTCAGGCTGTGATGATGTTTTTCCTGAATTAAGAATTAAACAGTGTGTTAGGAGTATCATTATTTTAAATTATCCTGAAAATGTTATTGGCATCTTTCTAATCCTCATTTTAAAGACATCTTTGTGCAGATATTTTAGCAAAAAGAAAATCTAATGATGATAAAAGGGAGTTTTGCTTCTTGTGGCTCAGTGAATTGGGGAAGGTTGTGAAGCAGGTGGGTGGGAGCTCTTGTATTGCTCTGAGATAGCTCCAGTCAGTTGTATTGGTTTTAACTGTCAGCTCTATTAAATTAATTCTATAAGATAGAAATTAATGACCCTTAATTACTGAGTGTAATAACTAAGGATAAAAGCCTCCTTAGCAGTTACTGGCTGGTGGCCTGCTTAATTTTGTACAAATTTTGTAACCATTGAAAATCTTCCTTTGTTTCTTCTCTATTTGCATTTTTAGAGCCAAGAATTGCGTGTGCCTGAGCTGAGTGTTGACACAGAGGCAAACAGGAGAGGGTAGGATGTTCTGTTTTGGTTGCTGATTCTCCTGGAACAGCCTGCACTCTGCAGCAGGCAGTCACAACATTCCAGGGAGTGCTGCCTGACAAGAATATCTTGGCTCTGTTGGTTTTGAAGCAATAAACATTGCTGTGTTCTAGGCTGTGGCCCTTTGGGAAGGTGATAAAAAGGAAAGGATGTGTTCCATGAAGGAAATAGTTCTCCTCATGGAATGCTGCAGGGAGAGAAAGTGCTGAATAGATTGAGATGGTTTTTGGTTAATGATCCTCCTGGAAAGGGCTTTGTTGTTGCTGTGTGCTCCTACTGATAACTGGGAAACAAAAACAACCTTTAGGGTTGAAGGTGAACAGGGAATCCCAAAATAATGTGGAAACAAAAGTAGATGTCTTTGTTAAAATCCTTAATCCAGATATCATGGGAATAGTAAAAAGCTTTAGAACAACTATTTTAACTATTTTCCAATGTCAATAAAATCTTGTTTATCCTCCCATCTCATTGTGGTAAATAATGCTAAAATTCAGCTTTGTTTCCATGTTTAAAGATGAGTTTTATTTCTCTGATTAAGGAGCACAGCCATCAACAAATCCAGCACAGAAGGGAAGGCAGGAAAGAAGGTAAGGCTCAGATTTTTATGGATCAGCACAGCTTGTCCTCCTGCCTTTAAATCCCAGTTATGTAAGCAGGCTGTGTATAAAAATTAATAACTTAAGAACTTTTTTGGGTTTTGTAGACCAGAAACAATCGAGACAAGAAGCATCTCTTCAGTGACTCAGACACAGAAAACAGAGGGGATGACAGCAAGACAGAGATTAGCTGGCTGCAGGAATCCAAGAGGAAACCTAAAGCCCAGATAATTGATTACAGTAGAAGTAAAAAACCAGGGAAACCAATGACCACAGACAAAAGTAAGAAATTTTTTTCATATTTCTGAAGAATGCTGCAGTAATTGGTCCATAGCTACAAAGTGCACAGCATGGTATGTGCTGTGTTGCAAATGTCATGTATTTTTGTTGTCTTGTTGCCAAGCATAAAGAATTTCCAAGTTAGTTCTAATAATTTATAAAGATCAATTTACATAAATTCTGTACTTTAATGTGAAAAACTGTGGAAGGATGAGACAGGTACAAGTTATTGTCAATTTAAAAAAATGTCTTTTTCAAAATAATGGGCTGAAAGCAGTTACTGAATCAGTCAATTTGTGGGCATGAAAGTGATTTTGTTATTTTACAGCTGAAACTAATGTCAAACATTTGAGTATTTTCCTGATTTTTCAACCTTCTTGTATTGTAGCAGCAAAAAAATCCTTGGAACCTGCTTTCCACATGGAAAAAGCTAAAGGCAAAAATGCAAATAAGAAAAAGGTAAATGTGAATTTGTACCTAGAATTTTAATATGGATTTAAAATCTCTTAGTTCCCCCCAGCAACTGTTCTAAAATAATTTTTCATAAATATGTGATGTTTCTCCCAGATCACTTGTTAAATACAGTTTATTTTTTCAAGCACTGTATTCTTTTCATATAATATTTAGCTGGTTTTTCATTCAGGAGTGAGGTAGAATGATTTTCTACATTGGGTGCTGGTTTTAGTGGACTGATGGTTGGATTCTCTGAGCTTTGGTTAAAAGCTTTTTAATTTCAAGTAATCAAATTTCATTCCAAGTAATTTCAAGTAATCAAACCAAGTGATCTGCCATTTTATCTTATGTATGTATTAATCATTCTTGTTAACTGAAGATGATTTTATTCTTCCAAAGATAAACAAATGTAAACCCCAGAATTCAAAACTGGATGAAATGATGGTAAAATCCACCAGAGAAAAACTCCCTCGAAGAGCAGCAGCAACAAAAAATTACAAAGAGCCTTCCAGTTCTGAGTCTGAGCCTGAAGAAAGGATTCCAACATGCACCTCCAGGGAGGAGAAATCCAAAATTCAGGTGTGCAGTTCCACTTGATTATTAAAAATCCATTCCTGCCATGTCTTTCAAAGTAAACTGTGCTCTGCTTTGTACTTGGTACTCCTGAATTTTAAGTGCCCAACATAAGCAAATTGAAGTTAATTTAATATTCTTTTAATATTGCCCCTTTTTTAATGATGAGTATTGAGCTGCTTACAAAATCAGTCCTGAATAATCTTCTTAGTCATAACAAATTTTGGTTTCTATTTATGAGATTTATTCTGCTGCAAAGAACTACTGTGTGCTGTATTCTGAAAATGTGACAATATTTTGAAAATGTCCTTGAATTGGGAGGGTTCAGTGAGCCAAATCTTGTTGGTAATGCTGTGTCAGTACATTTCCTGAATATCCAAATGGATTTTTAGTGAAGGAACACTTGTCGCTGAAACATTTTCATTGTTTTAGCATAACTTGTCCATATATATAGTTAGTCTATAACTAACTATATATATGGAAAGGTTTATAAACTTTATTCTTTAAATCCTGAAACATCAGTGATTGCCTCCAGTAGTTAGGTAGTTCATAAGAATAGAAATTTGTGTTGGAAAACCTGATCTGCTTCTGGATTTAAGTACTTCTGTTGATGATCCTTCTGCTTGATCAATGTTAATAGATAACAAATCTCTATCTCTGCTTATCAGCTTTCATGGACACTGTGGTTACAAAGATGTTTATATAATTTTGTATTTTGATAGAAGCACCTGAGTGGGCCAACCAAGGAATCCAAGCAGCCAAAGGTGCTGCAGGCTGTGCCTGTGGAGCCCAAGAGAGTGGAGAGCTCTGTGCAGAGAGCCCTGGCTGAGTGCAGGAGCTCTGCAGGGCAGAGGCAGCTGGAGATGCCCTCAGCTGACAGCCCTGCCTCCCTGGAGACAATGAGATGTAGGTGCTTTCACTGCTCCTTTTAGCAGCACTGGAACAAGAGGTGGAGGTGAATTGAGGGTTATCACAGCAGTACCATTTAATATTATTAAATTATATTATTATATTATTAAATTATATTATTTAATTTATTTTCATCCTTGTACCTGGCACAATGCTCTGTTTTAAATTGGTATGAGAATAATGTTGATTACACCGTAATGTTTTAGTTCTTGCTAAGTTGTGTTTGCCCAACAGCAAAGACTTTTCAGTGCTCCATGCTCTGCCAGTGAGAGGCTCCACAAGAAGCTGTGGGAGGGCATGGTCAGGACAGCTGAC